ATACTGCAGGGTCTTCAATCTGAAAACAGAACAGCTTTGCAGACTGCAGAATCCAGCAGCACCTTGTCCTTTGCAGGCTTTGCAAGCACAGCCATAGGTGTGACCCTTCTGCTCTCGTGGAGAGGAAGAACTAAACTCTTCTACCTCCATAAACCCTTAATCTATGAAGACCCTTTAGTAATTCTCAATTTTTCTCAAAATAAAAGCCTAAGTTTTCGCACTCCTCTGATTTCATTTCTTTTTACTCTCCATTCCAGCCACACTGGCTTCTTGACTGTAAGACCATCTCGTGGTCTTTACTCATGGCTGACTCCCTCATTCCCTTCCCCTTTGCTCAGATCTCTCTTTCGTGGTGGCCTTACATGGACTGTACCAGTTAATTTGCAACACACACAGAGCACTCCCACCCCTTCCCCCAACAGACTTTTTTTTTTTTCCCTATAGTATTTTCCCCCTTTTGGCACATAATTACCAACTTTGTCTCCTGCCTCTTGGATGGAAAACTCCAAGAGAGCAGAGACTTTGTTCACCAGGAATCCCAAATCCCTGGCACATAGTAACAACTCAGTATTTATTTGATAAATAAACCTTATTCCTTAGAATTCCAAAAAACAAATGTTCCTCCAGGGAGAAGTATGAAACCTGATTATGCCTTCAAATGTCTTTGTAGAAATGGAGTCCTAGGCTGTGGGAGAGGAAGGGGATATAGGTAGAACATAGAAGAGGCAAGAGAGAACAGAATAGGTAGGAAGTGTAACTGTAGAGTAGTGGAACTTTTTTCTCATTTTCTTGCCAAGTAGCTTTCCTTGTTGGGACCACAAGCCATACTTGCACTTCGTGTACACACAGTACCAGCACATAGACAGTACTGGTGCAAGTAGATCAACAAAGACCAGACGGAGGGAAGATTAAAGCCTGAGGGAAAGGGAATGGAGCCAGAACAGAACAATGACTGGAAAGTGGATAGCCACTACAGAGTTTGTGCAAGTTAGTAAGAAGAACCAGTTTGTCCCATTAAATATTAAATGCATGCACCATTTCGGTATTATGAATTTCCTAGGGCTGCCACGACAAAGTAAAGACTGGACAGCATAAAACAACAGGAGTTTATTCTGAGTTCTGTAGGCTAGCAGTTCAGAATTAAGGTGTTGATAGCACCTTACTCTCTCCTGTCTTTAGTCTTCTTGCCCCTCCCAGCTTTCTGATAGCCCCAGACATTCCTTGGCTTTTGGCAGGATAACTCCAATCTCTTGATTCCGTCTTCTCCTCTCTTCTCCGTGTATCTCATGATGACACCAGTTGGTGGATTAAGGACCCACTCTATTCCAGTATGACCTCAACTAATTACATCTGCAGTGATCCTGTTGTGACCCATCCTGACATAACTGGGGGTTAGGACTTGAAAATAATCTTTTGGGGGGGACACAGTTCAACATGTAACAGGTAGAAGTGTTTCATTTAATCAACTATGAAAATTTTTCACTTTTGTAGGTAGCATGAACTCTTTAAGGAAACTTTTCAGATTCATTGAATTTTAAAACTAATTTTCCATACTACTAAGTTTAAGAAATCAAATGCCTTACCACCTGTTAACATATATCAAATGGTTATCTTTTTGGAAGATGCCAGCATTTGTATGTGAAAGATTCTTCAAGTGTGGTCTTACATGACCACCTGTTTAAATTTAAGATTCACTCATCAGGTATTTCAGTAGCAAAATACCTTCCTGATAAAGTATTTTATACTCCTTAAGGTAATTTGACACTTAACATTTCATGTTTTTAACAAAAGGACTTCATGTACCTGAGTATGAAGACAATATAAAGAAATCCTGGGTGTGGAAAGAGCTATACACTGTTAGAAATATCAGACCATCCTGCCATGGGATACTGGGTGTGTATGGCGGGATGCTTTACACTGGAGTCTTTTACTGGATATTTAGAGGAATGGAGCCGTGGACTCTAAAACATAAAGGTAATTCCAACATATTTGAGTATGAATATTATAATCATTAACTATTCATGCTATTCATGAATGCAGGGCGCCTGGCTGGCTCATTCAGTACAGCATGCAACTCTTGATCTTGGGGTTGTGAGTTCTAGCCTCACGTTGAGGATAGAGTTAAAAAAAAAAAAAAAAATTTTTTTTTTAAATCTCATGAATAGGATCCATTAATAAAGTGAATTTTTTAATTTGTTTCAAACTTGTTTTATTAGAGAAATAATAAATTCAGTATCTTTAATCTTTATCATTACTGTAAGAGGACTAAAGTCTTATTTCTTCGGTATAATATTTTCAAGTTTTCATAAAAATGTTTGAGAAATGGGCGCCTGGGTGGCTCAGATGGTTGAGCGTCTGCCTTCGGCTCAGGTCATGATCCCAGGGTCCTGGGATCGAGTCCCGCATCGGGCTCCCTGCTCCTTGGGAGCCTGCTTCTCCCTCTGCTTCTCTCTCTCTCTCTCTCCCTCTCTCTCTCTCCTCCTCTGTCTCTCATGAATAAATAATAAAATCTTTAAAAAAAAAAAATTTAAAAAAAAAATGTTTGAGAAAGTACTTTTACATTAGTGTTATATTTTTATTCAAAATCTTCCTCAAAACTGTTTAAGGTTCTGACTCTGATCAGCTCAAGCCAGCCAAGGACTGCACACCTATTGAGTATCCCAAACCCGATGGACAGATCAGTTTTGACCTTTTGTCATCTGTGGCTCTGAGTGGTACTAATCATGAACATGACCAGCCAGCACATTTAACCTTAAAGGATGACAGTATTCCTGTAAATAGAAATCTGTCAATATATGATGGACCGGAGCAGCGATTCTGCCCTGCAGGTCAGTAATGATTTCTGCCCATTCCTAAAACACACATATTTGTTTTAACCATGTTGGAAATATGCTTCCATTACTTTAAGAAATGTCTCCTTCCACTGCATGGAAATTGTAAATGACCCCATACATCCAGCTTCCATTAGAAAACTCATTTTTGTCGTTCTTATTCTAGCAATGCTAAAGTAATAGGGAATTTTTGGTAAGCCTAATTCAGTTGACATTTCTCAAAGCCTTTCCTGGGGTACCTGGGTGGCTCAGTTAGTAGTGGCTGACTCTTGATCTCAGCTCAGGTCTTGATCTCCAGATCATGAGTTTAAAAAAAAAAAAAAAGAAGCCGGGGCGCCTGGGTGGCTCAGTTGGTTAAGAGACTGCCTTCGGCTCAGGTCATGATCCTGGAGTCCTGGGATCGAGTCCCACATCAGGCTCCCTGCTAAGCAGGGAGTCTGCTTCTCCCTCTGACCCTCTTCCCTCTCGTGCTATCTCTCATTCTCTCTCTCTCAAATAAATAAAATCTTTAAAAAAATTAAAAAATTTAAAAAAAAAGCCTTTCCCTTACCCTCAGACCAAGGATTATGGAACACCAAATACCTCTTTCCATGTTCACATGACTTAAATCATGCGTCATGGCTGCTCCTACACATACACATACATTATATATATACATATATATATATATATATATATACTAAAACATTAGGGTATAGCCACATTCAGCTGAAAAAATGGTCCCAGACATTAAATTCATCATGAATACTGTATCCTTTAATGTAAACTTTCAACTAGAATTATAATAGGAACTGGATCTCTAATATGGGAGAACAGTATGCAGATATATGAAAATCAGTATATTCTGGAGGGACTAAAATTAGAATGTAAACTCTGAGGACAGGGTTTTGATCTTTTTGTGTATTTTGACTTTTTAAATCATTTCTGCCCTTACACTGGTTTGTAAACTCTTCCAAGGGTAAGCATTGGATCTGTCTTTTTAGTTGTAACACACATATAAAATTGGAACTCAAAAATTGCTAAATGTTTGTTCCCTTGTTTTATAAGACTAACTTAGCCAAATAACTGTATACTTTCTGCTTTTATCCATACTTAATTTATACTAATAGCAGTAGCACACACCAAGATCTTCATAATATTCTCTGTGGGTAAACATTAAGAAAACAAACCTTCAAGGTTTCTGTAGCTACTGTTTCCAGGACTTCAATTTCTACTTTTGAATCTTGAAATTAAAACAGGTACACTTCACAGTATTACTTATTTTTCCTTACAGGAGTTTATGAATTTGTACCTTTGGAACAAGGTGATGGATTTCGGTTACAGATAAATGCTCAGAACTGCGTGCACTGTAAAACATGTGATATTAAAGATCCAAGTCAGAATATTAACTGGGTGGTACCCGAAGGTGGTGGAGGACCTGCTTACAATGGAATGTAAACTGCAACTGATTTCATTTGCAGGCACGTTTGATAGTTCCTTTAAAATGTATGGCAAACTAACTTTAAATGTTAAGAAGTCAACAGGTGTCAAAATATTTTACTGCATATTACTGATCAGAATGTTCATAAAATTATCAAAGAAATAAACATTTTATACTTAACCCTGAAATTATGAATATTCCTCCTACGTTAACCTCACAAATGAGGTAGCATCTGCTTGCCTCTATAATTCTTCAAAGATTCAGTACCAATAGCAAATACACTACTGGCCTTTAATGTAGATTTGACTTGTCAAATTCAAAACTTCAAATATAAATGTATATTCTATACCAGAGGCTAGCATCCAGCCCACCACTTTTCTCATGAATAGTTTTACTGGAATACACAATGCCCATGGTTTACACACGGCCTGTGGCTACAACTGCAGAAATGAGTAGTTGTGACAGATGACAATGGTCCACAAAGCCTAAAATATTTACTCTCTGGCCCTTTGGAGAAAGAGTGTTGACCCCTGAATGTTTTGTAAATAAGTACAAAACACCAGCAAAAACCAACCACCGGGAAATAAAGAATTGAGGGAAACAGTATACAAATTTAAGCTTTAAAGTGTTTATTCAACAAGATGTGTCTTTAGGAGTTTAGAAACAGGTACCGAGTTTAGAATAACAGACACCGTTATTCTTTGTGATTAATGCAGATAGCCATTTAAAAAAAAAAAATCAAACTTCACTGTATTTTGTAACACTGTTTTATTAAGAGTGAACTCTTTTCAGTATTCCTGAACTATAAACAATGGGAAACTGAAGTATCAAAGGAAACACATCAGGGATCATATATAACCGACAAAAACCTTTAAATTTTCTTATTGCCTTTATATAACAATGCGTATTTAAGTAAAACTGAACTTCTTACTAGGCAAACATTTTTGCATACGCTGCCTTCTCTTTATCTTTCTGTGCTTTTATCTTTTGTTTGACTTTCAGCAATTCTGCCTGGATAGCTGTAAAATAAACACGTAATAGGGGTTATTTCTCAAAACACCCAAAAAATTAGGATGCCCAACAACTAATGTTTTACACATGATAGTTAATTCTCCCCGTTGATACAACTCTTCTCTGTAAAGTAACTGAGCTCAATTAACAGACTATTTTACTGACAAAGCAATCCCACAAATACAAAAACCATGAGATAATTTTAGAAGATTGTCAATTTGAGAGAAGTCTAACTGAATTATGTGTAGATTTGCCTTCTCTCTCCCTATGAGAAGGCAATTAAGTGCCTCCCCTGTTTTACTTTAGCAGTGAGAGACTGAAGATGTATTTTAATATCTAGATCTCGTATCACTATTTGTAGCAGGCGTATTTGAAAAAAACAAACTAATTTTTGTCCTAACTTTCCAAAGCTTTCCTAAAATATACATCCAGTAACTAGAATACTTGTATTATGGCCTCATTCGGCTTAATGAATAGTCCCAGACATTAAACTCATCATAAATACTGTATCTTTTACTGCTGTGCTTTCAACTAGAATTAAAGTAATAGGAACCAGATTTCAAATGATATGAGAGAAAAATATTTGGGTATGGGAGAATCAGTATTCTGAGGAGGAACTAGAATGTAAGCTCTCTTGAGAGCAGGGACCTTGACTTGTTCACTGCCATATGATCAGTACCAATAACAGTCATTATGTAATATCTGTTGAACAAATATCTAAGTGGCAAAGGGTATAATGGTTCATAAAGATACATTCTTAACAGGACAAAATGAACTTTGACCATAAAAATTGCCAACTTACCTTTATCTTCCGGTGCTATCTCCTGAGCTTTCTTAAGATCAGCCTTTAATTGAAAAAAAAAAAAAACATTTAAAGAAATATTAGATATATGATTTATGAAGGTGATTGTCTAAAAATATTAAAGCTTAGAACAAAATTTTACCAATGCTTGATCGTATTCTTTTAATCCTTGCCATCCTTGAGCTCTACGGTATAATGCTTTGGTATTGGATGGGTCTATTTCAAGAGCCTACAAGAAATTATAAAAATAATATTTTTACCTAAATATTATTAAATATATGTACTAAACTTCAATTTATTGCCAGTCAGCTCCAAATCAACCCTTCACTGCTCTGTGATAATGGAGCTGGATGGACCCTGTAAATTTCTTCTCTGCCAGCAGGCACATTACATTTTATCAGTAGAGGGCACCAAAAGGACACAGACGAGAAAAGCTGTTTCTCTTCCAGGTTCCAGTACACTTCTTGCAGGCTCCTGCATTGAGCTTGGTCAACAGCACACAGCAGCTCACTGCAGGCAACTTACCCAAGCACTATAGCGGAGTCCCATAAGTATGGTAGCCAATGAACTTCTCTGCCACCCAATAAGTCACAGCCATCCTCCCTCCCCAGTGAGGTCTGGACCTCAGCCTAGGGGCTGTCATGAGGTGCCTCTTCCTTGGGGGCTCCATCCTAGCCTAGGGGGAGTGACTGCTCCATATATATAAAGCAGATATATATATCTGCTTTCCCATATTCTTTAGAATTCTCTTTATTAGCCATTCCCCTCATTATTCCAATACCCTCTTACATACTCTTTTATATTAAACTTTCTCTTTTCAAATTACTATATAGTTTCTATCTCCTGATTGGGCCCTAAATGATAACAGAAAACTTATGAATAAAAAATTTGTTACACTCTTTTACTTAAAACCTACAGGGTTGGGCTCCTGGGTGGCTCAGTCGTTAAGCATCTGCCTTCAGCTCAGGTCATGATCCCAGGGTCCTGGGATCAAACTCCACATCGGGCTCCCTGCTCGGCGGAGAGCCTGCTTCTCCCTCTCCCACTCCCCCTGCTTGTGTTCCCTCTCTCACTGTCTCTCTCTGTCAAATAAATAAATAAAATCCTACAAAAATCCTCAACAAAAACCTACAGGGTTTTTTAAGGAGTGTGAGTAAAGTTGAATAGGTCTCTCCTTTGAAGTAAATATATTACAAATAATTTTGTTTACTTCACATCTTCTAAAGGTCAATACTAAGATTTTACTGAAAAAGTTGTATTATCTGCCTCTCAAAGGTCAAAAAGAAATCCAGAGTTGGGGCACGTGGCTGGTTCAGTCAGAAGACCATGCGACTCTATGACCTCAATGATACAAGGAATTCTTAATCTCAGGAAACAAACTGAGGGTTGCTGGAGTGGCGGGGGTGTGGGAGGGATGGGGTGGCTGGGTGATAGACATTGGGGAGGGTATGTGCTATGGTGAGTGCTGTGAATTGTGCAAGACTGTTGAATCACAGATCTGTACCTCTGAAACAAGGCAATATATGTTAAGAAAAAAGAAGAAGATAGCAGGAGGGGACGAATGAAGGGGGGGAAATTGGAGGGGGAGACCAACCATGAGAGACGATGGGCTCTGAAAAACACACGGAGGGTTCTAGAGGGGAGGGGGCTGGGGGGATAGGTTAGCCTGGTGATGGGTATTAAAAGAGGGCACGTTCTGCGTGGAGCGCTGGGTGTTATGCACAATGAATCATGGAACACTACATCAAAAACTAATGATGTAATGTATGGTAATTAACATAACAATAAAAAATTTTAAAAAAGAAGACCATGTGATTCGATCTCAGGGTCATGAGTTCGAGCCCCACGTTGGGTGTGGAGCCTACTTAAAAAAAGAAAGAAATCCAGAGTGAAGACCCATCATTTACTTGGTTAGGTTTTTTCCTCTGTTATATGCTCCCCTTTTTTTTTTTTTAAGATTTTTATTTATTTTCTGACAGAGAGAGAGACAGTGAGAGAGGGAACACAAGCAGGGGGAGTGGGAGAGGGAGAAGCAGGCCTCCCAGGGAGCAGGAAGCCCGATGTGGGGCTCGATCCCAGGACCCTGGGATCATGACCTGAGCTGAAGGCAGACACTTAATGACTGAGCCACCCAGGTGCTCCTATATGCTCCCTTCTAAATATATTCTTATCCCTTATTCTAACTATCCTACCAAATTAAGATCTCTTTTTTTTTTTTTTAATTTTAAGTAATCTCGACACCCAACAAGGGGCTAGAACTTACAACCTCAAGATCAAGAGTCACACGCTCGGGCGCCTGGGTGGCTCAGTTGGTTAAGCAACTGCCTTCGGCTCAGGTCATGATCCTGGAGTTCCGGGATCGAGTCCTGCATCGGGCTCCCTGCTCAGCAGGGAGTCTGCTTCTCCCTCTGACCCTAACCCCTTTCATGTGCTCTCTTTCTCTCTCTCAAATAAATAAAAAAAATCTTTAAAAAAAAGAAAAAAAAAAAGAGTCACACACTCTACCAACTGAGCCAGCTAGGCGTACCACATCTCACTGTATTTCTACTTGCTCTGGGCATAGCTGATCTAAGTACATAGCTTAATGTGCAATATACATAAAAATTATTAGAGATGATCTTTCTAAATACACACTTTAGTTTGGAAAATTTTTCAACTGTGCAATAGGGAGAGTATCATAATTGCTCTATGTAAGGAGATAATGCTGCCACCTATCTAGTTTTATCAGTTAGTATTCCTGGATGTCCCCATAAAGACAGGTGACCTTTGTATGTTCCAGTAGTACCCATTCTCTTTATACAAGTCCTGATGACCCTAAATTAAAACAGACTCCCTCCTCAGTCAAACAAAAAGTTCCTTAAGAGTATGAGTCTTTTAATTAAAGCACCTAATCTCTGTTAGGTGCCTAACATGTGCCCAAAACTATGCTAAATGGTTTACATATATTATATAATCTTTTAACAATCCTGTGAGACAGGATTATTTTCATTTAATATAAAGATGTTAAGACTCTAAAATTAGGACTTAACCAAGATCACAAAGTTAGTGACAGAAGTCTAACAAAAACACCAAGTCTGACTGGCTCTGCAACCCATATTCCAATGCCCTGCACACAATAGGTGCTCAATATGTTCAATGAATAAATGAGCTGATACATGTGCTCTGAGGAAAAAAGGAACGTATCTTCATAGATATTAAGTTACATAATGTCATCAGCTAAATAAATGGATTAACAGGAAGAACTGAAAGTTCAAAATATTTAGAGAGAAAATGACTTTTAAGTTACGTTTCATCAAGTCTCATTTGGTCCTCTGTAATAAAATATATTACTGTACATAAAATTGCTTTTTTTCAAGTTGATAAATCATAATTCCACTCCTTCAAAAAGTCTGATGTCAAAGAGACTTACCTCCAAACAACTGTCGATTGCTCCCTGCCAATTTGACATCTTCAGTTTACAAGCACCAATATTCAGCACACAGCTTAAAGCTATAGGTTGCAGCTTCAATCTATCTGCTTTCTCAATAACAGCCTTTGAACCTTCCACATATCTGGAGAATACATTAATAAAGGTAGCATATAATGCCACACACAACTTACTCTGCTCCTTCAACTATGGCAAAAAGTGTTAGGTCATTTCTGATATAAAAAGCTCATCAAATGCTAATATTAATATTCTTAATGATCACCATCTTATTTTTCTTTAGAAGATTTTTATTTGTTCCAACTTTTTTCCCCGAAGTGTTCAAAGAAACCAATTTAACAGCATTCCTCAAATCTAAAGATAATTATGCACTACTAACACTTCCCAATTTTTAAAGCTCAGGTCTCCATTATGTACTTTTCAACGTTAAGTATGTTTGGGCCAAGGTTGTCACCGTGGGAGAGAGAATGGAATGAGGCAAGATGAAGAACCTTTGCAGTTTAATTTTGAACTGTATTTGAATACAGTTCCTGGCTCTGCCCACGGAAAAGGGCCCAGAAACAATGGGCACACCTGGCCCTCAGAATATGGTTTCTAAAATCTATCCCCCAATAAAAAGAACCAAGAACCAGGGCTCCTTGGAGAAACTGCTAATACCAGATCTGGAAACAGTTAAGTAAAAGATGAAACTGAAACACCTTGTACCAGAAAGCAAGTGCTCACAGACTAATACGAACATGTCCAAAGGATACAGGAAGAGGGGGCTTCCATTGGACAAATATGGAACCCTTTGAACATCAAAAAGAATGATAATAATAGGTTGAACTTAAAAAAAATCCACAGGTATATAATACTAAAAAGGGGTGGGGAGAAGGAGGAGGCTCTTATAAACATGAGAATGCCAGAAAATAACTGCAGAATGAAAAAATTAGAAAATCAGTTCTGTGACCAGTATAGTAACTGATTCAGGGAAGGATCTTCAATGATGCAAAAACTCACTGAATGAAAGAAAGGTTAGGAACTGGACATTCACACAATCTCACAGGATCACCTCACAAAGTACTTATTTACGAAAGGGAAAAGGTAGCTTTCTGACACAAGCATCTGGCTGACACCACTTTAACCAAGTGCCAAAACTCAAAATAGGCCAAACTGACGTGTGCCTTCAGGATGTGTTATCAAAGGAAATATTCACCACCGATTTAAGTCCTCTTACCAAAATATTTAACCTCAAACTAATCTTGAGGAAGTAATCAAATAAATACAGACGGTATTCAATAAGACAACTGACTTAAGACTCCACAAGATACAAATGACTACAAAAACCTAGTGCAGAGTAGGGACTACTAAAGATAAGAGACTAAAGACATAAAACCAAATGATACAGTGGACTCTGGACTAAAAAAAAAAAAAATTGAAATAATTGTGGAAATTTGAACATGGATTACATATTAGATAATCTTGTATCAATGTTATTTTCAGGGTGTTTCAAATGTATCAAGGTTATGTAGAAGCATGTTTTCGTTTCTTAGGAATTACCTGCTCAACTATTTAGGGGTAAAGTGTCATGGTATCTGTAACTTCCTTTCAAAATGATTCTACAAAAACTAAGATAGTAAAAGTTAAAAATAGTGTAAAGAGATAAAGGTACAGGTGTATTCATATACTATTCTTTCACCTTTCCTGTATTTTGAAATTTTTCAAAATAAGAAGCTGGAGGAAACAAAAGATGTGAAACTATTTCAACACATCTGGTTATTATGCTGCAAAGTAATTCTGCCAAAAAGACAATAAACAACTCTGAATTTCAGTTTATAATTCAATTTATAAACTCTTAGAATTAATTAAAAATATTTTATTACCTTAAAACTTTTGCATATTTTTTAATGGCCATCTCCCAGTTCTGAGATTTGAAAAAAGTATTTCCAATATTTTTTATATCTTCTGTTATCAGTAAAATTTTATTTACCTGTATTTAAAAATACAAATATGTTGCATTTTAGTAATTAATGTGGTTTAATGCTAGGTTCTATCACTAAGACAGATTGATATGAGAAATTCAAAATTTTAGTACTATTTTTAATAATTAAAATTTGACTAATCTAAAAGTACTCACATCTTTTAAATCTATATCTGCATCCTCAGGGAAGTCTGGATGACTGTCACCAGATCCATCTTTTGGGAATTTGCCCCAATCATTCCCTTCCTTCAATTCTCCGCATTCTGCAATAACGCACAACTGTAAAAATAATCCTAAATTGTAGAGGTCTACTACCATATTAATGAGATTAAAAACCAGAAATCTGGGTTCAAAAGCTATACAGCTGTAAGTCATGTGCAACAATGTCCAAGTCACTTCTCAAATGACAGATTGACAGAAGTCTCATCTATCTGCTCTAATTACAATAATGCCCTTTATATACATTCCAAGTAATACCATGACACTATTTTAGGAAAGTGTTTTACTGCTATTCAGCAGCTCAATAAATAAGAATATGTGGAAAATATTATCATTCTCTATGTAATTTTCTTTAGGTGAGGCATGTCCTTTCAATTCCACTACTGTTTCTTTCATACAATGGTGACAGCCTACCTCCTCCAGGTATTTCAGTTTCCAATTCCCACTCACAGCCCTGCCAGTTAGGTTAGGTAGTTTTGTGGCCACTGTGATTTCACAGACATTTAGAACACAAGGCTCTTTAGAGTTACATAATCTAGTCTAAACCCTAAAGTAATTTATATATGATGGGGAAACATGCCCAGAAAATTTAAATAACAAGATCAAGGCCAAACCACCAGTGAAACAGCAGAGTCTCAACAGGCTTCTTGGCTTCCTGTCCTCTTCCTACTATGTACTAGTGTACATGCTGATTCAAACTTTTGCAGGTAGAGAAGAGTTAAGAAACCTACAAAAAAAAATCACCAAAATTGAAGTGGAAATAATAAAAATCTCTTTTTAAACTACCCTAATGTTATCCTTCCCACTGTAGAAAAGTTTCGAGAAAAAGTGAAAGGTCTAGGCTTCTATGCCAAAGTCATCTTAACATTTTCCCAGTTAATAATCATCTGATCCTTTTACTTACATCTCTTTAAGACAGTAATTAAAATAACAAGTGTATTTCACTGTAACTTTTTACTTACTTTGGCAGGTTTTTCACCTTTCACTTCTACATTTTCCAGTATCCTTGCCACACCCATTCCTTGAATTACTTGGCCAAATACCACATGTTTCCCATCCAAGTGAGGAGTTGGGACTGTTGTGATAAAGAACTGAGAACCATTTGTATTGCAGCCTGCATTTGCCATGCTCAATAAGCCTTCCTGATCATGCTGTAGAAATACAAATCAGTAAAAGAAAACCGAGGTTAGAGGTCCTAGTCTGAACTGTTCTTTCACTGACCATTCACAGAAAACTAGGGCAGGCTGTAATATCGTTTAGAGCAAACAATGTAGTGTTATTTTGTATAAATTGCAACCTTTAATTCACAAACATGGGGTACTTAATCACTTTTTAGACTTTAAAAAAAAACCTTATGAAACCAAATAAAATAACAATTTAGATTTCTAAATTGGCCATTTTGAGAACAGGCTTATATCTCAACTTTAAGACAAAGATGCTGCATTAAGGAAATCTAATGATTATACTTTGTCCTTTTTTATAATGAATGTTCTCTTTTCTGAGAAGAACTCAATAGTCTTCCCATTTTTAGGGGCCTACGCTAGGATTCTTCCTTTACACATCAATAAACTGGGAACAGTGATGGGATATTCAATTTAGACAGGACATTTCTTAAGTACTTTCCTAATCTCAAAGTAATCCAAACATTATGGCTTTCATCCCCAGTGAATCTTCAGAGAACCATTCTTCAGAGCATGACCTAAAGAAACTGCTGCATACATCCTGAAATCAAATTTCTACTTGGCATCAACCTGTTCAAAAGTGCTGTGAAACCAGATTTCTTCATCTTTCCACTTTATCCTTAGGCTTTCTAAATTATTCGTTGTTGGGCCATGCATTGTACTCTCATGTTAGTCTTCCCACTGAAAATGCCTTTTACCCCTGCAACCCAAAAAATTCAGCTTTCAGGGCTACCAAGTTTGCAGAAGGCAAAAGCTGTGTCCTTTCTTTTGATCAAAGCAATCGCATAATCTTAGTTTTCACCCTTCAGAGGCAGCTTCCCTTTTTCCTTTCCAAAAGTTTGGTGCTTTTCCCATAATAACAAATAGAATATTAACTTTATTTTCTCAGCCTCCTATTGTCTTTGTCTTTACTTACTTATATCCCTCATTCAAACTGGAATCTATGTTTTAGTTCCTGTCTAACCAAGTCTTGGCCACCCTGCAAAGCCCAGCTTAAGTACCCATTCCTCTTCAATATCTTCCCTCATAGTTTGAAATATATAAATCATCTCTTTCTCCTATAATATATACAGAAAGTCTCAATCAATTTAGCATTTATTTGCCCATTATTATATTATTCTCCTCTTGTCCCACGTGTTTTAATCTTGTCTTCCCCATAAATACCATAAATTCCTTGTTATCAAGGCTATTTATTTTTATAAACTCCTTGGTGCCAGTGACAGTACTAAATACATAATAGCTGCAGCCAATAAATACTGTTTAAAAGACTGATGACATTTTCTTTTCAAAATATCCTAATTACCTTGCTCATATTCCTCATTTCCAAAGATATTACTCTACTTTTGTACTTACATGTTCATTCTTACAACTTGAATGATGCAATATACCCGATTACATCTTGGGACAATGAATATAAGACGGCAAAGGCACCACTAATGTCCTTTAGGAGCTGGGACATTAACCATATCCGCTACTTTGCAAATCCCCTGACATCCTGGATATTAGCGATGGTTTTGTTGCTCTTCAAATTCAAGGATAAAAATGCACAAGTTACCATCCTTCTGATAATGAGAACATTCTTCCTGGAAACAATGTGCCATATGGTGGTTGCTCTTAAAAACTCATTGGCTTTAGTGAAGTATGTAAACCTGGATCACACTGACATAACCATTGTATTTTTGCCAAATAAAATTAGTGGATGAAATTTTTGTATGTTAAAGAGCATGTTCACAAATATGGTATCTTTTACAAGAAAAGGAGAATCTATGCACACTTGAGACATTTATTGGTGTCTTAATCCAACTAGTATCCCAGACCAGACACATAACAACCTTTATTATTAGCAATAAACACTTACTTTTGCCTACTTTACCTTATAATAGAAATTTTCATCTTCAAATTTTTCACCATAAATACTTTCTCCACCTGTCCCATTTTGATTTGAGAAGTCTCCACCCTGAATCATAAATTTCTTAATAACTACAGAAAAGGAAAATAACTATTAGAAACTAAAATATGGATGACTACAGCAATGTTAACTAATGAACATGTAGTAAGAAAGAAACTTCCTAAAACATGACTCTGGTCATACCACTCTCCTGTCTTTCCCCACCCATCCCCGTAACTCCAAACTCTTAAAAGGCTTTTCATAGCCTGGGTCCAAACTACTTTTACTGACTAATCACTCACTAATACTCTAAGAATTAGTTCAAATGGTACCTCCCTTATATAACTGTCACTGAGACCCCAAAGTTGGATCTCATAATTTTTCTCCCACAATATCTTGACTCTACCTCCACTTTATAACATTCATAACGTGTATCGTAATGATCTGTCTCTTCCAGGAAACATTAATTCCTTGGGTGCAGCAACTGTTTTTCATTGTGTATACGGCTAGACATGTGTTACTCACTGATGTCTACTAGGAAAGACCAATTATTCCCAGTAGATTTGTTATACCATAATGGGAGTACTTCAGCAAGTATTATCACTTGGTGTCAAAGGTTCCCAAGACCACTCTCATGTTCAGAAATTTCCTAGGATTCATGGGACTCAGCATTTGGTTGTATTACAGCAATAAAGGACGGACACAGAGCTAGTCGATAAAAGGAAAAGATACAACAGAGTCTGGAGAAATCTATGTGCTTCCTTATACTCTCTCCCTCCCATGAAAGGTCAGAGAGCACATTCTTCCTCCAGCAAAAAAAAAATGCTGCAACATATGCACAATGTTGTTGCCCAGGTAAGCCCAAGGTTTTTAACCAGGCCAGATCATGCAGTTACTCTCTACCTAGCATGTACCAAAATTTCAGACTCCCAAAAGGAAAACAGGTGTTTAGCATAAATCAAAGTGTTTGTAAAATAATCCAGGCACAGTAAACCATCTTTATGATTCAGGGAATGGTTCCAGTGCCAAGTTCCTAAACTCCAACTAATGTCCAGGCTGCAAGCAAACCTTTCCAAGGAGAGCAGTCTCAGGCCTGCTATGTCAACTCTTTTCCAAATACTACACTCTACAGTATATTTTAGTATTTTATTAAACATGAATGTAAATCAACAGTTTAAACATTTTAAAATCAATGTTAGTTTTTTCTTAAGTTGCTTTTAATAAACTACTCAAGATTATACTTTAACATACTTATTCATTAAACAAATATTTATTGAGTACCCACTCAATAACTATACTACATGCTGAAAACAAGACGGTGAAAAGATAAGTTCCTGAATTCATGGAACATACAGTCCATTAGGGGAAGCATCAAATAATCACTAAACAAAGGTATGATTAAAAAGTGTGATAAGCATTGTGAAATGTCATTTTTTAATTAAATATCACACCAAGACACTGAATCTTTAAATCCGCTACAGCCTTCCCAAGCAATCCTGCCCAAGTGGTAGTTACAACTTTTTTGCCACCAGGCAGTCAAACTATCTAAAGTCTGCTTCTTTATCATGGCACACCCTTTTTTCTCAATCTAATCCCAATGGAATGAAGAGCTAGGGCACTGGTGAAGCTAGGTAGTCCATTTCTCTATAAGTAAACTTTAGTACCCTCTCATATATTTCCACTGTTCACAGCCCAACCTTTATGAAATTGAGCTACTGCCTCAGATGTTAGAGCATTCTCCTGAAACTAACAGTAATTCTTAATTTTCACTCTTTACTTCCCTTTACTTAGGATTTTCTTCCCTAATTGCTACAGAACAGAATTATTTATAAGAATCAGATTAAAAAATTTACACATACTTCGATGGAAAGGGCATCCTTTGAAATGGAGAGGTTTCCCAGTGGTGGGTCCAATGCCTTTTTCTCCTGTACACAATGCACGAAAATTTTCTGCAGTTTTGGGTACAATATCTGCAAACAATTCTAAGACAATTCGACCAACTAAAAGAAAAAAATGAAAACATGTCAGTATGCAAAACAAGTAACTAAATAAGCAAATGATAAAAGGATGGTTGGCGAAAGTATAGTGACTGAGATACCAAGTTCTCTTTTTTGGTCATTTTTCTAAATATTCAAAATTAGTCTAATGTTAAGTGTCACGTATCTAGATGAATTTGAAACAATCATTTTTCTACATGTTAACAAAGGATCAAAAACACAGAGCCAGCAGATTAGGACCATATAAGGGACACCATGAAGTACAAATGGTTTTAAATTTTGAGTAATTTCTTCTACTTGTACTCAGCAATTCCAACCACCAAGTAACCAATAGGAGAAAATCAAATATCCTTTGAGTGGTCGGGTTGGCTGAGTTTTAAGTATAGCTGTAGCCTTTGTGCTCTATGGAAACTCCCTAGTGCAGCCGCTGAAGCAAAAGAGGAAAAAGTTCCCATTTTAGACAACTCCTAGGGCAGGTAAAAACAAACCTCGCACTAATTTCAAAACAAAATAAATATATATGTTTATGTTTATTATATAAATACATGTGTGTGTCCATAATCAGCCAAGGGAGTCGCTGAATCCTGATGTGTCCGTTTGCATTCACACAGACCAGCTAACAATTCTAACCTGTTCTAGAACAAGAGTATTTCAGTTACAAAGCAATACGCTAATTCACAAGACCTCCAGAGCTCCCGAAGTGCTTTCGTAGCCTAGGCAACCACATTGCTACACTGAGCTCATTTTCCCCAATGCCAACACGAGAAACAAACGTTCGCCAATCTGACGGGACCTCTAAGTTAAAAACTGATAATAAGAAAAATCAACCAGCAAAAGTCGCTTTAATTTACAAACAATCTGGCAACTGCTGGTATATCTCGGGTGGCATAAGACACGGCGTGACCGGAACCCAACAAACACATTATCAGTTTTCTGAAGGTCCCACTGCAAACATAAAATAGTCTTATTTTATGCCTGCTTGATAGTGAAAGGTGGCGAGGAGGTACAACCAAATCAGGAGGCAAACGTAACGGCCCCCAGAATCCCGAAACCAAAAATTTCCAGAAACTTCCGCACGACCGATGGCCTTGGTACAAGGGCGCTGGTTCGACCCAGCCTTGGAAGCCTGGATATGTTCCAGCAGTCCAGTCTGGGCAGCCGTCCCCTCCGCACCACAGAGCAGCCCCTGGCCTGAACGGCACGCCACGGTCGGAATCCCCCGAATCCCGGGAAGCATAGCTTCCTCGGGGCCATTCCGCAAGTATCAGACTCCGCTTACCTCGCTCCCCTCCGATGTCCACCTCAAAGAAGACTCTGGGGTTACTGGGGTTGGAGGGCTTAGTTTGAGGGGACGGGTGCGACATTTTGAATTGCAGATACGCTTGGGAGCGAACTCAAATAACCTCGTGGACGACCTGCAGCTCAACCCAAAAGCGACTTTCTCCACGAAGATCTGTCGGCGGCGCTGACGAGCCACTTCCGGTGTGAGGTCCGGAAGCCGCGCCCCGACTTCCGGCGCCGACTTTCGTCGGCGTCTCCGCGTAGTTGACCTGGCATCGGCTCTCCGTAGTTTTCTGTACTTCTGTCTTTCTGTTCTTCCTCTCTTCTCGTGTGCTGAAGTTGCAGCCCCAGTCCTTTTTATTCTTTTTTGCGTGTTTCATCGCTTTTCCTACTGTGATAGTATAGAAGAGCTTTGGAGACAGTCCTCTCCATTCCAGCCTCAGGCCTGCCACTAACGGGCGTGTGACTGCTTCTCTGACACACAGCTTGCTTGTCTGGAAAATAGGAATAAAAATGCTTACCTTAGATGGTCGTTTTGGGGATTAAAGACGCAAATTGCTTAGCACAGCGCCTAACACAGCCAGGTGGTAGCTAATCTATAGTGACCGTGTTACTGCTGCCGTTTTGTTACAAGTTGCTATTAACACTGTAAGTGATAGAGGTTAGGCAAAGGCTCTGAAGCTGAACGTCCAGAAGAGAGCGCAGTTTAGTTTCCTGATAAAACTGTGTTATAGTCCGCTTTTCCCTTCTGGGAATTTGTGTAAACATTTTACGTATTTATATGAACATAGACTCACCTCTTGATAAAGCCTAATTTTGGAGAGAAGTGGCATGTTCTTTAGCACTTGGTAATATTCTAATTGTTTATTCATTTATTTCATCTATCTCCTCCCATTAGAATTAAAGTCCACGAGGACAAGAATTTGGTTTTGTTCATTGCTCTATTCAGAGCACTTCTAACAGTGTCCAGCACATAGTAGGTGCTCAATAAATTTTTTTTTAGGTTTATTTTTTTGTTTAGAGAAAGAGTGCAGGGTGGGGGGGAGGGGGAAAGGCAGAGGGAGACAGAGTCTCAAGCAGATCCCTTGCTGAGCTGGGGGGGGGGGGGTGGTTTGCTGGATCTCAGGACCCTGAGATCATGACCTGAGCCAAAACCAAGAATCCCACCTAACCGACTGCATCACCCACGCGCCCCATAGGTGCTCAATAAATGTCTTTGAATGAATGAACGAGTTATACAGAATGTGAATGGACTTGAGAATTTTTATAAGAATGTTAATAAGAAATTTCATTTCCATGTGTATTTATGTATAATTTGAGATTATCAGCACTTCATGCTGATCCTTTCAAATTCCAGCACATTAAAATTAATGCAAAATGTTAATTCCTTATGAGTTGATGTCCTTGAATTCCATAGTGTTTATTCGTTATGGCTCCAAGAGGATCTAGGTCAGCCCAGCACATAACCTCTGTGTCTTTTGATGAATATGAGTCAAAATAAATTGCTCACTAATCCAGTCTCATTTCCAGGCTGCAAACTGGTAATTTACACTTTGTCTCATAAATATCAAATGAGAAATTCACATTAAAAGTTTTATTCTGCTGGGGCGCCTGGGTGGCTCAGTTGGTTAAGCGACTGCCTTCGGCTCAGGTCATGATCCTGGAGTCCCGGGATCGAGTCCCGCATCGGGCTCCCTGCTCAGCAGGGAGTCTGCTTCTCCCTCTGACTCTCCCCCCTCTCATGTGCTCGCATTCTCTCTCATTCTCTCTCTTTCAAATAAATAAATCTTTAAAAAAAATAAAAAAAATAAAAGTTTTATTCTGCTCTAGTAGCTTAAAATTAGCCTCTAGCACATTAAGTCCAAGAATCGTCACTTTTACTCCATATCCTCCTAACCATTGTTATCATTAACTAGGTAACATGGTTAAGCACTTCTGTGCCATCACACTTCTGAGGTTCAAATTCAATCACTAATAGATACTAACTTGTGACTCTGAACAAAGTACTTAGCCTTTCTGTGCCTCAGTTTCCTCACCTGTAAATTAGGATAATGATATGTATCTCTTAAGTTGGTTTGTTTATTTATTTATTTTAAGTAAGCTCTACGCTCAGTGTTTGGCTTAAACTCACAGCCCCAAGATCAAGTGTCCCATGCTGCCCTGACTGAGCCAGCCAGGTGCCTTATGAGGATTAGGTGAAGAATTATTTAGATGTTGTACTATCAGAAACATAGTAAGTACTCAACAAGTATAAGCAATTATTAATCATAAATAGCTAATACTTTATTAAAATAATTACTAGTATCAACCTATTTCAAAATGAAAGTTAAAACTGCAAAGGTACTTTGAAGATGCCTCTGCATTCTCAGAAAATATAACGTGATTCTTTGTGTTATACAGGTTTCTGGGTGTAAAAGACTAAATGTTACTCTCACTGTCTAGATTTCTCACAGTAATGTAACAGCTTTATGTAAACTGTCATTTTCCTAGAACAAACCTGAATAACAGAATCGTACCTTTCAAAACCACGCCAGTACTGATCTCTAGTGAAAAGGTAAATCCTCCTAGAAGACAACCTGTCCCATTGTCAGTCTGCTTACTTAAAACATGTCTTCTCAGTTCTGAAGGCTTCTTGTCTGTGTGTAGAAAGACTAAGGAGCATGCACTATTTATTAGGGCTAAGGTTATACAATTTCATCTGGAAAGAGGGATGAATATTTGCTCTAAGATCTCTATTATCATTATCATTATTATCATTATTGTTATTTCTGTCACTTTCCCCATAAGTTTGGGAGGATAATATTAACAGATTGCATCCCCCACCCAATATCCTCTCTCAATCTCTTTGCTCATTACTGCCCTCAAACAAGCAGCTAGGCATTTTGTGCTCATTCCTTAAGGAGAAAAACACGTGATAGCAAAGAAAACAGAGTGGGGAAAACACTTTGAAGTGTTTTCTAACTTTCCTAACTTTGGAGTTGCAAAAGGCTTGGCTTTACAGGAACAAGAAAGACTCCTGGCATAGCAAGAGATTTGAACAAAAATGGCTGTAAGAGCATCTAAGAGCATGGCTTTCCACTGGCAAAAAATAATAATACTAAAACACAAACAAACCCATCTCCCATGCAGGAGAATGAGGGGGTTACAGATGGCAGAGAGAGGAGAGTAGGAGGGGCAGCAATGGCAGGGCAGATTTACACTATCCCAGAGATGAGAAGTCTCTGAACCATGTTCCCCAGTCACATCCCTGGGAAGTCAGCAAACCTCCAAAAGTTTATGAAATCTGAGAGCAGAGGGAATGGTGTGCCCAGATTCCCAAATACAGCCTCAGGAAGGCAGCAGGCCCTAGAAAGAATATGGATTAATGGTGTGAGTAAGTAGATGGGAACTAGACAGACTCCAAAGATTTCCTATGCCCTAGCTTGGAGTGGGAGCAAAACAATACCCCTGTATTCCCATAGAAAAGGAAAGATGGCCTCCATACTTCAAGAGAGCTTGCAGAAGGGAAGTCTGAACTCAAGAGGCCTGGGAGAACTGATGACTGAGGTAAGACGTCTAGTTTCTCATTGGATGCCTATGTAGACAAATGACTTTGAGAACCAGAGGCTCCCAACCCCAAAATTTGCTAGACATTATCAAGTTTAGATCCAATCCCAAGAGAGAAAAGTGAGATACCAGAAATTGGCAAAATTATGGCATTACCGACCCTTTGGAATAGGCGATTCAAAATTGAACTTAAGGTAAGTGATAGAAAAAAAACTTGTGTCTCACACACCTGAGTTCATACCTTTATACAGTCATAGATTGCAGATCATTGAGATCCTAACTAGGACCCAAACAAGTCTGAAATAACACCCAACCCCTTCATCACAGGTAAGAAGTCAGAAAGGACACCAGAGTTCGGGGAGAAAGTTTCAGGATCCTATCTGTTGAGTCAGGCTCTGACTGCAAAATTGGAACTCCAAGAGGCTAATGTGTAACTCTTTAAGGAGACAAAATGATTCTGCTTCTAGAGGAAGCATTGGTGTTGAGATACTAATGTGTAGGAGAGAGGCCTAAGAATCCCTACTCTTCCATATCAGAACGGAAAAGCAACTCTCAAGTTCTGCCTGCCTGCTAAAATTTATGACTAAGAATAATTACAATTTTTCTGAGCTAGAACACTGAACCAATGGAAGACAGCAGATGCCACCAGGGGACAGTAGAGTCTCTGCCACCAACAGAAATCATCCCACAGATAGAAATAGTGCAGTGAACTTTGTGCTTGAGAGCTCCCAAAATGGTAAGAATCTTCTAGGAGCTGGAAGTGATATGGTCAAAAAAGGATATTGATTATTAGTTTACAATAACACCAGGTAAGACAGGGTTTGTGTATTCCTTTCCTGAAGAACAGTAATAAGATAAATTTTAACTGTGTTCAGTTGTGAAATGTCTATTTATCTGATAGAACAAAATCAATGATACAATGATTTGAACCAACAAAAGTACTGTTCAAATCCTAGTATTCCCTTCCTCCAAAGAAAAAAAATCTACATTAATCTAAAAGGACTTCCTTAAAATGGATTTTATGACTATCACAAACAAAAATAGTAACTAGAACATATTGGTCATTGATATGTGCCAGACTCTCTGCTAAGTGCTTTACTTACTTTATGTTAGTTAATCCTCGAAATAACTCTGTCAGCGGTAATCTTACTATCCTGTTTACTTTATCAGACAGATGAGTACTGGGGAGGTTAAGAAAGTTGCCTGATCTGATTCCAAAGCCACTTCCCTATGTACTGGAAAGATGGAACCTGAAATCTATCTTTATTTTTTTTTAAGATTTTATTTATTTATTTGAGAGAGAGAGAGAATGAGAGATAGAGAGCACGAGAGGGAAGAGGGTCAGAGGGAGAAGCAGACTCCCTGCCGAGCAGGGAGCCCGATGTGGGACTCGATCCCGGGACTCCAGGATCGTGACCTGAGCCGAAGGCAGTCGCTTAACCAACTGAGCCACCCAGGCGCCCTGAAATCTATCTTTAAATATACAACGTTTAGATATTATATAAGAAACATAATGACATATAAAGGATCCTTGAGCTCCTCATGGCATTAACACTGGACTTGTTTTATCCTTTCATATCTCGGCTTTGATCTGGCATCCTAAAACGGATTAGGCTTCTATGCCTTCTGAAAGGTAT